GGTGTTCAAAATGAACACCATGTTTATTTTATTTTTATTTCTATTCAAATTCAAAATGCATCGGTTCACACTTTGTTATTTATGTGGACAATTTGATGATTGATTGTGGAGATGTCGGTGTACCTGCAACTAAGTTAATGGAGACACCACATTCAGATTAATCACTGGAATTGCCCCATCTCTAATACTTTCAGCTGTTTTGGCCTGATCCTGATAGTGTTGTTCAATTTTTAAAATATGTATAGTTCATTGTCACTTGAATATAAAATTTGAACATGAACATCAGTGGCACCAAAGACAGATACTATGAGGTGCCTGTTATGCATGGATTCAGTGCTCAGTCAAGAAAAGTTGAATTCACAATCCCAGGCCTTTATAATTCAATGGGAAGACAACATGTATGTAAAGAAAAAATTTAAAAGCTACAATTTATTTAATAGACACTAATATAGCTTTTAATCTTAGTTTTCTTTCAGTGCTTAGAAACAAAAGTTTAGGGAGAAATATGAATATTCTTATTCTATTCAGATATACCTCCATGTAGTGAGCATTTCACATAAATGATCTCCTCTAATCATCATAATACTGTCCATGAAATAGATACTATTATCTTTATTTTGTAGATTAGGAAAGTCAAGCCCAGAGAATTTAAGTTGCTTTCTAAATCATTATAGATCTTCTTATTTTTGTAAAAATAAGCATTTTTGTCGTGTGATGAAAATGTGTGTATATATATGCTTAAAATATTCATGTAACTCTGTAGTTGAAAAAAACTCCTGATGCAAGTATATTTTATGGCCACATTTGAAATACTTCTTATATAGTCCATCTACATTTTTCATTGTCTTGACTTATATTCATTCAAGAGGATCTTTGGCCTCCAGATGGAGAAATAAGTTTAACTTGCAGGATGGAGAAGCCAGAGGCATGCAGAAATTGGTGTGTATCTTAAAAGAGAGTTCCAATTATAAAGACCTCTTAAATCTAATAGTTTTTCCCTTTAGTATAAGTCGTTGACTCTGAAACATGATGCTTTACATTAAAGGTGGTGTTTTGGATGAATTGCTTGAAGCTCCATGATTTTCTGCAAAAACATTAGAGGGAAAGGTAACTAAGAAGATGCCTGCTGCTGCAGATCAGAATAATAGATCAATAAGAGGGACTATAAGAGCAGTAATGCATTAAAGAATTAGTACACAGGAGAAAAGAGTCGTGAAGCAGAAAAATACACACAAACACATACACATTCTGATGTATATTATATACACATAATATATAAATATAGGCCCATTTTAAGTAAGTGATCCCAATAACTCCATTTATGCATTTTATGGCCATATACATTACTTTGGTCAGCTCTCTTATGGAAAATAAACAATTGATTAACTGTTTAATGTTTATTAAACTCCTAAATTGCATAAGCACTGTGCTTGGTGATAGGAACATAATAATAGAGAAGATGGCCTTTGTCCTCAGGAGCTCCTAGCACACTATGGGAAAGGTATATTGCAATGGTATGGTGAAAGTTTCATGATCCCAGAGCGGGAATATTATGGAGAGTTATCTGAAGGAGGTGAGGTTTGAGCTGGCTCTTGTACATCAAGTACTGGTTAGTCAAAAGGAAACAAGAAAGGTGAAGGTTTTTCTAGAACACAGTATGGAAAGGTCAGGAGCTTGAAAGGGAATGTTGCGTGCAGTCTGGGGTTGCTGGAACATAGTGATGAGGGTGAGGTGAAGGTGGAGAGGAGGCTAGACCTAATAGGACTAACTAGGCTTTAAAGTGCTGTTAGTACTTCATAAATAAAATTCCAATAATGATGAGATTTTACAGTGTTTAAAGCATGTGAGTGGCAAGGTCAAATTTGTATCTTAGCAGAGCATTCTAGTAGCTATGTGGAGAATGGTTTTTAGGTGGCCAAAACCCAAGTTTCCGATCTAATTTAAGGCTGTATTTAAAGTGTAGACCAGGGCTGGCGTGGTGGCTCATGTCTGTAATCCCGGCACTTTGGGAAGCCAAGGCCGGCAGATTGCTTAAGCTTAGGAATTTCAGACCCGCCTGGGAAATATAGTGAGACCCTGTCTTTACAAAAAAAAAAAAAAAAAAAAAAAAAAAAAAAAAAAAAAAAAATATTCTTAACAAAAAAAAAAAAAAAAAGAAAAAGAAAATACAAAAATTAGTCAGGCATGGTGGTGCATGCCTATAGTCCCAGCTACTTGGAAAGCTGAGTTGGGAGGATCACTTGAGCCCAGGAAGTGGAAATTGCAGTGAGCTGAGATTGTGCCACTGCACTCCAGCCTGGGTGACAGAGTGAGACTCTATCTCAAGAGAAAAAAAAAAAAAAGGCAAGTGATGCTGAAGGTTTGAACCCCCATGGTGGTAATGGGAACCTTGATAACACTGGTGGCGGCCTTAAGCAATGGTTAGGAGTTATAACTGGTAAGACTTGGTGCTTATTTGGATGTGGATGGAAGGATCGGAATTTCGCAGAGATTTAGTGATGGTGACTAGGTATAGGGTGGAGAAAGCCATAAATATGAGATGGAGAATGATCAGGAACTGGTTGGTCAGACCAGCACCTTGGTCAGTTTACCTTAAGATGTATGTGGTTTATCTAGATGGAGTTGGTTAGGTTGGGGTGTGGTGGCTCACCCTGTAACCCCAGTACTTTGGAAGGCCAAGGCAAGTGGATTGCTTCGAGATCAGCCTAAGCAACATGGCGAAACCCTGTCTCTACAAAAAATACAAGAACTAGCCAGGTGTGATGGCACATCCCAGCTACCTGGGAGGCTGAGATGAGAGGATCATCTGAGCCCAGGAGATCAAGGCTGCAGTGAGCTGTGATGGTGCCACTGCACTCCAGACCGGGCAACAGAGAGAGCCCTGTCTCAAAAAGAGTTGATCAGCACATGGATCTTTTAGTCTGCAGCTTGAGAAAGAGGTTTCTCGTGACATGTTTGGGAGTTGCCAGCCTGTAGGTAGTTACCATTAAATATGCAACCCCTTCTGTGTTGTCTTTTCTCCCTTTCTTACATCCTAAAGCAAAGATGTGTATCTCCCAAAAGTATTCAGTCATGAATATTGTACCTTCTGGTTGTAACAACAGAATGATCCCATAGAACAGGAAATACTCTAGGAAAATGCAAGTAACCAAGTGATTGTTGCTTTCTTCCAGCTGTGTCAGTGGAAATGCCTGCCGCAGAGGGATATTGCTTCAGCTGACCTCATTTTTTAAGGACCGTGGCTCTGCGGCTTTGTCCAGTTCAAAATGGCAGAAAAGGCTCCCCCTGGCTTAAACAGGAAGACTTCGAGGTCGACACTTTCTCTTCCTCCGGAGCCGGTGGACATTATCCGGAGCAAAACATGCTCCAGGAGAGTTAAAATCAACGTGGGGGGCCTCAACCACGAAGTCCTGTGGAGAACGCTGGACAGGCTGCCCAGGACACGCCTGGGGAAGCTTCGAGACTGCAACACACACGAGAGCCTCCTGGAAGTGTGTGACGACTATAATCTGAGTGAGAATGAGTATTTCTTTGATCGCCATCCGGGCGCCTTCACCTCCATTTTAAATTTCTACCGGACAGGGAAGCTCCACATGATGGAAGAAATGTGTGCACTTTCTTTTGGCCAAGAACTGGATTACTGGGGGATTGATGAGATCTACTTAGAGTCCTGCTGCCAGGCCAGATATCATCAAAAAAAAGAACAAATGAACGAAGAACTGAGGCGAGAGGCCGAGACTATGCGAGAGCGAGAAGGAGAAGAGTTTGATAATACCTGCTGCCCTGATAAAAGAAAGAAACTCTGGGACTTGCTGGAGAAGCCGAACTCGTCCGTGGCTGCAAAGGTAGGAAACCCATGGCATTACTTGCTTGTGTGTGACGAGAAAAGATGCTACCTATATTCTAGAGAGTGTAACGTTTTTTACTATTTTGGTGACACAGAGCCAAGTATGGCTCCACAGACAGTGAAAAAATCCTTTCCAAAATCCTATTTAGTCCAATGTAGTCATTAATCCTGGGTAATGTCGTAAAATGCCATTACCCTTTCATGAATATTATTGTCTTTAGAAAGAGGCCTGGGCAACAGACGATGAAAAGAGAGTCCTGGTTTTGCTGGCGCTGTATAGTGTGGGTGACTTGGAGGCTGAGGAGAAAGCCCTAGCTCAGACCCATCAGACACCGGGTCTTGTGGAAGACCAGGACATGGCCTCCATCTTGAACCCAGGGAAGGTGCTGTCATTGGAAGGAGAGGAGGTCCCTCTTAGCCTGGCTCTGTAGAGGTTCAAGAAAAGAGACGAGAGCACGGCCTCAGGTAGCTCGGAGGGCAGGCACTGCACACATGAGGAAGGGACTGTTTTATTAAGCTGTGTAAGAAATGACTCAATGTCCAAACTGCATCCACATACCCCACCTGGTTAGGCCTCCTCTAACAGTGCATTTTTCTGACTGTTGATGAATAATTTTTTTTTTTTTTTTTTTTACAATGGAGGTATTACCATGTCTCAGAGTTCGTACAGTATTTGCTTAAAATGAAGATAAAGTCCTATTTTCCCATTGTGACCACATATATCTAAATCTCACAGTAAATCTTTTGTCACTAATTTCAGTATGTAATTCAACTGCATGATTCTGTCTAATTTTATCTAGAGCTTTCAGGGTTAGCCCAAACCAATTTCCATTCCACATATTTAGTTCTGTATTGCAGTATGAATGATAAGTAAAAATTCAACAAAGCCGTATTTAGCTACATGAGTATAGTATTGACATTTCGTGCATAATGGATGAAAATGGAGTATGGAATGGAGAAGGGAAGAGTGTGTCATCACATGGATTCTTTTGATTATTTACCGTTTTTTCTAAAACCTTCTTTCTTGTCAATAGTAATGATTTCAGAAGTCGTAATAGACCATCTGAGATTTTGGACTAGATATTAAGATTCTACATGATAATCTACAGCATGTAGATAATTAGCGAATGCAGATGATCATAAAACTGCTTCTTTTTTGGTTTTGTTTCTGGTTGACTTCAAAAGGCATTTTACTTTCCAGCCAGGCCATGCACCTAAGTGAAATAAAATGATATCTGTTGTATATAACAAAGAAATGCATATATTTTGTGGCAAATGGAAGACTTCAACTAGGTTTTTTTGTAGTTTTGGATAAGTTGCTCACTTTAATTTTACTTGTAAGAAAAAAATAAACGCGCCACATTTGTGGGCTTTGATTGAGAAAGGATACTGTTCTTTCCAATATCAAGTATTTAGTTACATGCTCGAGTTACTACTAAAAATATGGAGTGAATTTTGAAAATGAATGAGACAGATTCTGGGTTTAAGTGAGTGTTGTGGGTGTTAAATGAATTCTTTCAAGCCTTTAGGCAACTAAGGAATAAATCATTGTTTCATCAAAAGTTCCAGAGAAAGTTAGCCAACTATATAAAGATAAAGCAATTAAGTCAAAGAAAATTTGAAAGGTTACTGTGGTTTATTTGTTCATAATGACATTATTAACATATATCTAAAGTTAAGTACGGCTACAGAAAAACGTTTAAGATATATATATTATTTTCCTGAAGAATTTCTCACAAGGATAGAATAAGGTCAATAACCTGATTTCCTAAACAAGGGAGTTCATTTAATCTGTAAATTTTAGAAGAAACAGCAATTTCTTAATCTCTGAGAAGGTAATTATGACCATGGCTCATTACAATAGAGCTTTATATATGCATCTGACAGATTATTTAAATTTGCTTCAAGTTATGTCTGTATGTACAGATAAGAAATCTGCCTACAAACTTTACCCAGCAGCTAAAGACATTGGTTTTGAAAAATTTTATATAGTTCTAAATGGTAAATGTGTTTCCACATTGTTAATCAAGCTAAGTCAATCTTCTCTGTAAGTTGATTCTTTACTAAATTTTCATAAAGGATTTGTGTTTGTTTATTTATATGTCTACATTTTCCTCACTGCTTGAACGTTGAAATATTATGGAAATTATTTACATTTGATTATATAGTAGTTTAGTGAAGTTATTGTTCATTTGTCTGAGGTTCAGAGCCTTTTAAAAATGGCTCTGTGTGATGCCTTATATAAACCACTACCTTTTCCTTTGCTCTTCTCGAGTCCTATAACTTGTTTTTTTCTTTCTGGAGTAATTCTTGGTGAGGGGAGTGGTAATGCAGGTATGTGTGGTTAGTAGGTTCACAACTTAAGAACAAGTAGTAGTATTACAGCTGCAGTAGGATGATATTCTTGCTCTCATTATTTATTTTATGGGTTCATCAGGCTCTTCCCTATGTTATGTGGCCCTTGTGTAGGAATGCTTGGAACCTTCATGTTCTTCCTCACTTGCTTAGGAGGTAAGTTAGCTTTGTAGCAGAGTATCTGTGGTCCTTGCCTTTCCAATTTTTGCTTATTCAGTTTGGTAATTTAGTTGAACATATGCTCTATGTGTGCCATACACATTAAGGTAGATACTTAGACACTCCATTCTTTCCAGAATTTAAAAAAATTCTTAAAATATTATCTTATCGTTAACTGGGATTTCATATCATTGAAAATATTTGTGTGTTTTTCTCTTTCTGTTTTTATATAACTTGTAAGATTCCTGTAATGAAGAAAGTATAAAAGCTCTAAGATTATTTGCCATATCCGTACGGAAGGAAAAACTTCACCCTATCATGTGTTGCATAACAGGCTAAAATACTTATTCTTTGATATGAAATAAATACTCAATAATCAGTTAAGTAATAATTGTTCAGCCCACGCTCTATGCATCCCCTATGATATAAAAAATTATTACAAGGTCCATTGACCTATCATTTTTGTCTTTGAGTATTACCCTGACAATAGCAAGTCAATTCCTATGGAACATATTCCCTGGTGTCACCTAAGGAGCCACTTCTCTTACTTGGGTGTTCTGGTGTATTAATAACTGAAAAAAAATCCAAAGCAGAGTTTAACAACGTGGTATATCTGAAATATCTACATTTAACAAATTAACATTTTTGCACATATATAGAAAACCATGAAATTATAATCATAGTATTCAAAATATAATGACAGGGCTAATAAAGTTATTTCCTAGTTCTCTGGGATACTGTGTGATTTGGTAATGGGACACATCAGCTGTATGATGGACTCTGTCTTTGTTGACTCTTGTCAGTGTATCTTGGCGTTTGTGCATGCCCTCATATAGAAATAATGTACTGTTTAAATGTGAGGTGGGTGGTTTGTGAATGTGTGGCTCAGCTGAATGGGCCCAGGGCATGGCTGGAACAACTCCCTGGGTTACCACGACAGGAATCGCTGGCTTTAGTGTGCCTTTCATAGGATTGCGCAAGGGGAAGCAAAGGGCTCAACTGCCTGCCAGTTTCCTGGGCAAAAATTGGAATTAGACTTGATCCTGTATCTCTTCCAGGCCAGGACAATTTAGGCTCTGGACTGGAAACATTTTTCTCTATTTTCCTTGGCCTCTTCCCAAAGAAACTGCAGTAGCTATTTCCCTGTAAATATTGCATATAGTGACTTCAGTCCAAGAGGTGTTTAAAAGCATTTTTGGGAAATGGGTCTTGTGGCAGGCAGTATTCTTAGCCTTTGGGATGAAACAACAATCAGGAAGTAGCACAGCCCACCTGAGATCTGAAAGAAGCGAGATTCATCAGTACCACACAGGGCCTTCACTTTGGATGTCTTAAGAAGGTCAAGAACAAAGGAAATCAGCTGGGTTTCCGGCAAATCCAGCTATCTGGGCTCAAGGCTGAGTCCTCTGAGGGAAGCTTCACTCTAAGAGCATAAGTGGATGTATGTAGGGAGCAGGGCCAGACAACAAGCTGATCTCAGGTGTCAGGTCAGGAAGCTAGAATGTAAGCAGCCCTTATTGGATAAGAACAACAGGAGGCAAAATCTGCGGAAACACATTTCTATTCATCTGAACCAAAGAGCAAGAGTACCCAGCAGCTTTTTCAGGACAGCATACAGATCAAGAGGGGCCATGGTTTAGGATCTGCTTCCCACTCCTCAATTTCCTCATTTATCCATAGCCACCACTTCCTCCCTCCCTTTCCCCCACTCCTCTTTCCCCTCTTCCTTCTCTCTTTCTTTCTCTCTCTCTCTCTTTCTCTCTCTCTCTCTCTCTCTCTCACACACACACACACACACACACACACACACACACACACACCCTACCTTGTGCCCCCTCAGGAACTGGCTTTATTTTAGCTTAATAAAAAAGGGAGAGGGGATGATTGACCAGAGAAACATTTTTCCACTTTTTTTCATCAATAGACCCGTAAGGAGAAAAATTAAGTTTAAATGAAAAGTAGAGCTAAGAGAGCCACAAATGATGGCACTATGTAAGTTTTTTTATTCCTCCTCAATAGCACCAGTTTTCTCCCCCTAAAAATGCATGGGACGGAGGGAAGGAGATGACTGCGTTTCCTGCCTGCACCTTACTCCCCGTACACAACCACTTGTCTCTTGTTAGCATGGTACAGCACAGCACCTGAAGGGCCAGGAGACCTTAGTCATTCTTGGATCACGTCGGGAGCTGGTGGTGGCAGATGGGCAGTCTGTGCTTGGAAATTCAGCTCTCCACAGAGCCAGGTGTCCAAGTGATGAGTGTCTTACATGCTGGTACCTGTTTGGTTGCCCTGTTGATATCTCCTTCAGAACTAGCTCCCTGTTCCAACCAACTTAGAGTGTAGGCCTTTCAAACTATGAAATAGTAAAAAATCAATCAATCAAAACAAAATAAAAACTCCTGTGTACTTATCGAGGGAGAAAGAATACATAACATTCTTATTATATTTATGTATATGGATCAATTATTCTAATGCTTT